TTCTCCTCTCGGGATCTTGGGCACGCATGCACACACCCGGCATGAGTTTAAGCCACCAGGTCCAGGACTCGAACTGCAGTCGACTACATGGGAGTCCAGCGATACAGCCATTACGCTAACTGCTGGTCCCTGGATGAGTACTAGTTTTCAAGTATGGAAAATTTTTCTTATCTGAAGGAAGGTGAGTAGAAGTATTACAATTCTCTCTGTGGATACTTTCTTCTATAACTTAAATACTATTTTTTTCTCTTTTAATATCCCCCTGGTCAGATCAGCTACTAGAGAAAAACCATATTACCATGAAGGCTGGTGCTGTACCTAATGGAATCCCTCCTCAGCTAAGGCCCACAGCTCGGTGTCCGTCTTTTTTTCAATTCCTGTCCATCTTTTAAATTAGTTATTCTTGTTTTAGTTGTGTTCTTCTGGAATTTCCCTCCTCAACACTCCTGACCTTCATGCCTCTTTCAGCCTCCCTACCTCCCTCTACCTTCTCACTCCTGTAGAGCATCATGACCCTGTCACTGTCCCACATGGAAGCACACCCTTCTCTTTTTCTTCCACTCTCAGAAGATGGCATCTGTTTCCACCTGTGTATCCATCCATCCTTCCAGGCCGTCCAGTAGCTTGGGCCTTTAGCCCATTCTTGCCAGCCTCTTTGGATACCAAATCCTATTGGCCACCCCCTTCCTTCTGCAGCTCTGCATAAATATTAATACATAGCTCAGAAAGGGTCAACAGTGACAAGTATGTGTAATATAATCACACAGATTTCTATATCATCTAAGTATATCATATACAAGTAGTACAGAACATTTAAACTCAGTCATAACTTCCTAATATAGCTTCTATTAGTATTGATAATATTAGCTGATACGTTATGTGTCACATGTTTGTCTGTACGCTTTTAATGACATATTGAGTCATCGAAGAGCAAGGGATCAAATATTGCTTTACTATTGATTGCTTTACTATTGCTTTACTATTATATTAACTTACAGGAGTTTTTTGTTTTTCTTCTTCTTCCCTGTTTCCTGTCAGACCAACCCTTTATACTTGGCTAAGCTGATTTTCCAGATGCCACAGAACAAGTCAACTAAATTTATGGATACCGTTATTTTCACACTATACAATTATGCTTCTAATCAACGAGAAGAATATTTACTCCTCAAGCTTTTTAAAACTGCTCTGGAGGAAGAAATAAAGTATGTATATAAGTAATTATATGAAACACCTATGAATAGATTCTTTTGCTAATGTTGGCTATCTTTGACTTACTAGAAATAAAAAATTTAAAATAATAATTTAAAATTATTAGTTATTCGTGCATATTACAATATGTCAGATTTATTGAGAAATGTCTATATAACTGAAGCTGCATTCAGATACAGGTTTCTACCACCAGTGATCCCTTTCCTAGTATTAAATTATCTTTTTGTTTTCATTCATTCATGATAGAGTATGTGTGTTCACATGAGAATGAGAGACAGAGAGAGAGAAAGGAGAACCTCGACAGGGTGTGGTCACACCACAGTCCCCTTCCTCCAGTCCGCCAGCCTGTCAGATCATGGACCCCTGCACCACATCCCCTCATGTTTCAGGAAGACTGGGCCTGGGATTTGAACCACAGTCATAATGTGAGATCTTGTTCCTCTTGAGCACTATCTTCCTCTTGAGCAGCGCTCTACTGCTGAGCCACAGAGCTGGCCCTAACTTAACTTTGGATCTTGCATTTTCTACAAGTGAAAACCGAAAGTTTATTGAAAGTCAGTGAGAAAAATTTACTTAATTAAAATTCTCTGAGTAATAAAGGCAGAAGGGGGGGATGGAAAGAGCAATCTCTGCTAAATAGTCTTCCCTTCTCACTAGAATTTAAGCTCCCTTTGCTACTTTATTTTCTGACAAAGGTAATATAAAAAATAATGGGCCCCTCAAAAAGTGTGAAAACTGTCTTTGGTCAAGGTGGACTTAACTGCTTTCCAAACCTCTTAAAACCATATCTAGGCCAGTTTCTATGGGTTTCTGACGCATCTGCACCAAGCACCTCTGCCCACAGGGTGTCTCTAAGCCAGCCTAAGAAATGTGATTCCCTAGGAAATAGCGCTGTTACCTGGTGGAATGTGGCCAGCCTTCATTGGCACATGTGGTGTAACAGTGTAACAGCTTAGAGGGCCAGAAAGGAAAGTTCCTCGTAGGTCGAGGAATCAAGAGTTTATGGAAGAGGAGGTGTTTGACCCAAAGCTTTGAAGAATAGCTAGTTTCCTAAGGCAAGATAGAAAAGAGAAGTAAGACACCATGGTGGTGGAAACAGCCCAGGCACAAGTGCAAGAAAGAAAACAGGATGGTCTGACGAAGATATGACGTGGATAGGGACTCCCAAGAGATGAAGCTGGCAAGATAGAGCCGGTCCTGAGAGATGGGAAGTGGAGGCCCAGATGTTGAGGCTCTTACTTTCTGGGAAGCTGTCAAAGGCTTTGAGTAGGATATTACCACACTGGTGGCCATAAAGAAAAAAATACAGTTTTGATTTTTAGCACACGGAATTTGAGCTATAGGTATAGACCATCTGAGTGAAAATATACAGCAGAAAATGGGAAATTCTAGAGCAACTGTCAGGAAGGAGATGTGGATTAGAGATTGAGGCTAGAGGATAGGTCTCAGCATGACAGTAGCTGAAGCTGAGCATGAGGGACGTCCCTGGGTTACGGTGGGACTTTATGGACCAGATATTGTTTTGCTGAACTATTGGCTCACCTATTTGCCCTCGTTCTCGCTTTCTGTCTCTCTCTGTCTGTCTGGCAAGCGCACGCACCCTATAGCAAAAACCTCTCAAAAAAAAAAAAAAAGAGTATGAAGAGGAACCAGAAAAGATAAAGGAATAAAAAGATAAGGACCAGAATAGTGTACAGCCAGACCCTAACAGAAAAGAAGGTGGAAAACGATGAGAGTGAAGAAAGAGTTGGCGGGTGAGAGGTTGCACAGAACAAAGGGGAAGAGAAGGAGAGGGGAGAGATCACAGGACTTGGCAACTAGATGTCAAGAAGACCTTTCTTGGCTAGAAGCTGCAATGTAATGAATTTGAGGGAGAACAAAGGGGAAGAGAAGGAGAGGGGAGAGATCACAGGACTTGGCAACTAGATGTCAAGAAGACCTTTCTTGGCTACATGGTGTGGCTAGAGGCTGCAATGTAATGAATTTGAGGGGGCTTTGGAGAAGTAGAGATAGTTCATTCAATAAAGGAAAAAAGACAGAAAGCGAGAAATCAACCCCCCAGGGGGGATAGCCACACCGCAGTCCCTTCTCCTCTATTCTCCTCTTGGGATCTTGGGCATGCACATACACACACCTGGAGTGAATTTAAGCCACCGGGTCTAGGACTTGAACCACAGTCAATTACATGGGAGCCCAGCGACATAGGCATTACACCAACTGCTGGTCCCAAAATTGTGTGCATTGAGAGAGACAGAGAGAGAGATGGACTCGATGCCACAGTCCTCCAGCCTCCATAGGTTTTTGCCATAGGGTGGGCACCACCATGCCCAAAAATTATTTTTGAAATTTGTTAGTGAGAGGGAGTACAGTGTCACCTAATATTGACAGTCGTCATCATTTTCAACCTATACCTGCCTTCTGTTGGGTTGTTGGAAAGGTCATAATGGATTTTTGCATAGAAAAACAGAAAAATATGTGATGACTTTTCTGACAACCCAATAGATTAGAATTGAGGTTGAGAGTTTATTTTTAGATCTTTAAATTGCTCAGATAAACACATTTGGACCAGCAGTTCAGTACTATAGGTAGAAAGCAGATCCCCACATGGCAGACTACAGTTTGAATCCCAGCCCCGGCAGGTTGGAAAACACTGGATACATGTGCATGTGTGCCCAGATTCTTGATGAAATAGAGGATAGTAGGATTGCAGTGTGACCATGCCCTATTGGGGGATACTTTCTCTCTCAAGTGCAAACACCCTCTAGCAATAAAAAATAATAAGAAGAAAAATAATAAGAAAAAAACTCACACATCTTATAAATTATTACTTCTTTTAAAATCACACCAAATTTGATATCCATAGAGAAAAACATAACTCCACCAAGCCCTTGCCTGCCAGGAAATATATGTATCAGTGAAAATTGTATGCATAGAAGCAAACCCTCTTGTTTGGCTTGGGCTTTTTTCAGATCGAAAGTGGACCAGGTACAGGACATAGTTACTGGAAACCCTACAGTCATCAAGATGGTTGTCAGCTTCAACAGAGGGGCCCGGGGACAGAACACACTGCGCCAACTCCTGGCCCCTGTGGTGAAAGAGATCATCAACGACAAGGCCCTGATCATCAACACGAGCCCTGTAGAAGTGTACAAGGCTTGGGTGAACCAACTGGAAACACAGACCGGGGAGGCCAGGTAACAGTTGACTTTTAGATCTGTAAACTGCTTGGATAAGGAAGATGTTGGTTTCCAACTGTTTCATGATCATTTTCACAAACGTATTTATGAATACTCTTAAACTCTCTTAAGTGAAAAAATTAATTGTGCAAACTCAGTTTTTAGTCGAAGATGTTACCTTCTTTTGTATATCCATGCAGATGACATTCTTAAACTCTTGATCACTTTGATGCTAATGGTATTTCTGTAGCAGTTGCTCATCAATACCAAAACTTTTGTAATTCTCTCCGTTATTTGTGTGTGTTTCTAAACCTAGGCCTAGAGGTGATACACACTTTCTCTTCACCTGGTAATACATACTTTTTTTTACAGTTTCCAAGCAAGGAAGACATGTGTAAGAATTAACGATCTAGGTAGGATCAACTTTCTCTAGGTATAGTAGCTCTGAGTGATCTGAGCTTTTTAATTCCTGCAAAGGAATATCTTGCAAAATAATTAAGGCATGCACAGAGAATTACATGAGTGGTTGTCACACCACTGTTTTTAATGGTAAAAAGTTAGAAAAAAAATATTTAGCTTTGAAGATTTGTTAATATTTCTATGGTACATAATATAGTAAATAACTATTTGGAATAGTTAATATATATTTCTGTGTGTTTGTAGAAAAAATATTAACAATGTATCAGTTGCAGTTAGGAACAGTAACCTACTTATGAACAAAATATGTGTGTATATACACACACATACACAGGCTCTATATACACACAGATTGCATGACACTCACAGGTATGGGAGGCCCATATATACATGTGCATAGAGAAGGACGGGCAAGTTAAGCACTAAGGTATGGAAATCGATTGTCTCTGCATTGGTATTGAGTGTTTTCTTGTTTGTTTATAAGTAAGTTTTTCTGTAATGAGCATATTGCATTTTACATTTAAAAACATAAAAAGGAAAGATAGAGCCAGCCATATGGTGTGGTGGGTATGGTGGCCGGATCCCACATTACAAGTACCAGACCCAATACCTTGAAAAAACATGCCAGGCACATGTGCATGCATGCCCAAAATCCCAAGAGGAGAGTATAGAAGGGATTGTAGTGTTGCCATCCCCTCCCTCCCCCCCAGGGATTGCTTTCTCATTTTCCCTCTCTGCTCCTCTCTCTGGTGTTCGCACATCCCTAAAGCAAATTTAAAATAAATAAATAATAAACAAGAGGAAAAAAAAGAAGGTTAACCAAATCTATTAATTACATCAATCTGCCAATTATTTACAAAAGAGCTCAGAGGGAGGACCTGGAGTTCCTCTGGCCTCAAAAGTGACAGCATGTGGGACCTCCCCGCTCTTAGCAGACAGTTATTGGAGTTAATGGGCAAAGTCCAATTCACTGTACAAAGCTTGATTGTAGAACCAACCTGGCAGGAACACTAATGCTTGTACCTGAGCGACCAATTAATGTATAAGCCCTGTTGTGCTTTCAGCAAGCTGCCTTACGATGTGACAACGGAACAAGCTCTAACATACCCAGAAGTAAAGAATAAACTGGAGGCGTCCATCGAGAACCTGAGAAGGGTCACTGACAAAGTCCTGAGTTCTATCATTTCTTCCCTTGATCTGCTGCCGTAAGTCATATTTGTAGCAACTTTATCATCCCTCGCTGAGAGTTCTGAAATACTACACAAAATAAGCTCCTGAATTGAGGACAGGAATCTCCCCTCATTATCGCGCTCACTATGTAAAGAGTGCCTAACCCTAACCTAATCCTTTAGGTTCATAACTGTCTCTGGAGAGGGAATGGTCCAGTCATAGCCACAAATGCTACTCAGTTATTATCATCAGTGGAAGTCGTGTGGTCCCATTACCATCTCATTTTAAGTTTAATTTTTAGGGATACTGCTCAGCTTTAGTTTACTAGAACAATTGCTGTGTGTTTCTTCCTCACTTAGCCTTTTTCCATTATTTTTCTTTTGTCATCTGTTTTACATGTAGTTATGGATTGAGGTATATAGCCAAAGTTCTGAAGAATTCCATCCATGAGAAATTCCCCGATGCAACCGAAGATGAGCTATTAAAGGTAGATTTTCAAGAGTCATCTCACCATAGCTTTTCCTGGGGGTATGAGCTAAAATTACCAACATACTGTGTTTTCAGATTTCTGTTCCCATGTATTATTGTTTACAATAAGCTGCAGGTCTTTGTTTCTAATGCCTGTAAGATGTTTGATTAATTTGGAGATCCTAGGCATTATTGAAATTCCTTGTGTAGACAATGTTTGGGACAATACACATATTTTACACCAAAGATAATTTTTATTCTATTGGCAATATAGTTTTCCCTATATTAGCAAATATTATTATATTCACTGCCATTATGACATACATGCCTTTACAATACTGTGTATTATATAAGGTATATAATATAATGTATATTACATAATTACTGCACCTATAGCAATTATTCACTGCCTTTACTGAAGTCCTTGTTAGGATTCACATCAGAGAACGATCTACTTTCACCCATCTGCAGTAAATATGTGGGGTGATGCTACTATTCGGCAGGCTGAGGTCCCCTGGGAGCCCCGGGTTGATTCCTGGTCCACTCTAAAAGCAGTGAGCTATTACACACCTCTCGTCCCACCTGAGGCAGGAAGATCATGACAAAGCAAGACCCTGTCTACAAACAAAAGAAAGAAAAGAATCTGCTTTCTCCTGGGAAACTTAGCAAATATATGTGTAAAAGCCCCAACCTAAAACTCGTTAAGTTTTCTCTTTTCAAAATGGTAGTCGTCTTCTGCTTCACTCCAGATTGTTGGAAACCTCCTGTACTATCGGTACATGAATCCCGCCATCGTCGCTCCAGACGGCTTTGACATCATCGATATGACGGCCGGAGGTCAGATCAATTCTGACCAGAGGAGGAACTTAGGATCCGTGGCCAAAGTGCTTCAGCATGCAGCCTCCAACAAGCTGTTTGAAGGAGAGAATGAGCACCTCTCATCTATGAACAGTTATTTATCAGAGACGTATCGGGAGTTCAGGTGAGCAGGGCCATGAGCAGGGGGATAGGCAGAAACTACACGTGTCCTGTGCCCAGAGTTGAAGCTGGAGAACAGGAACCCCAGGGGGTGCACACATTTCTTCTACCATTCGCCACTATGGGGCACAGCAGGCCAGATGCTCATGCCTGGGTTTCCCTGCCCACCCCCACCCCAGCTGCCGCTGTTCTAAGTCCCTCCTGCCTGTGTGATTCCTGCTATTGACAAAATGAAATGTGTATTTTTCCTGGTGTGCTACAGGCTTATAGTACTTAGAATAAAAATAGCTGATTTTCTGCTTTGTTAAACTTAAGAGAGTAGGGTTTTTTTTTCTTTTTTTTTAAAGTTCTCCAATCAGAAAGAACTTGCTTTATCTGCATCTAACAATAGTAGGAAATGGAGTATTTGGTTTTCAAAGGTTGGGAAAACCCAGATTTTCTATTTGTGGGTAACTGTGTGAATATGTTCCGTTCTAGTCTCGAGCCTTTCTCAATTGTACATGAAGGGTTTAACGGTATTAACTATATTATATATTTCCAAATTACATCACTGGTCATTTCACACAGGTGAGAAAAGACCGTTTCACAGTAAGATTCAAGAGTCCTGAACCCCTCTAAGGAAATACTCTCATCTCGCCATTTGCTTGTCCCTTGTTAATGAGGAGGTCATGGAAGTGTGGCATGAATATGGCCTGTTTCAATCCTCATTGCCTATTCCTTAGTTTTATTTAGTGTTAGTGACTTACCTACCACATACCTGGTCATTCATCTCTATTTAGAATTTGTGGCTTTTGTGAGAAAAAGACCCCAAATCTTCTCACTGTGGGAAGTTTTAATTTCTGAAGCTGCTAATTTTACTTATCACTGAGTAAGAAAGTAATATCCATTTCCCACTTTTTTTTTTTTGCAAATTCTTAATTTCTTGTCATATCTTTCTCTTCCTTCTTTTCTTCTCAAATTATGCCTGTCAACCACGTATGTTTCTAGCTCTTCTTCAGTTAAAAAGAAGCAAAACTGGGCCAGTAGGTGGCATAGAGGTTGAGACACTGTTTTCTGCATGGCTGGCTGTGCAGTTCAAGTCCCAGACCCAGTGGCTTGAGAATCACACTAGGTGCACATGTATACATGCCCAAAATCCCAAGAGTGGAGAAGGGGTTGTGGCACGGCCATCCCCCACGGGGGAGGGGGGTAATTTCTCACTCTCCTTCTCTCTCCCTCCCTCCTTCACTCCCTCCTCACTTTCTCCTCCATGCCCTCCCTCCTCCCTGTGTCTCTCTCTCTCTCTCTCTCTCTCTCTCTGGCAAGCACACACGCCCTATAGCAAAAACTTAAAAAAAAGAGAGTGAGCGAGAGAGAGAGAATGAAGAAGCAAAGCCAAAAGCCTTCCCTCATCTTCTCTTCAACTCATCCTCTTTCTCTTCTGCTTGTATTTGTCCCTTGTGTTCCTCAGCAACCAATGAAAAATAGCCAGGATGGCACAGGAAGCCTATTGTGACATGGGGACATGCCCCATCCCCAGTCCCCCAGAACATGGCTGCCTGGTATTAACCTCCCCCCAGCCTGGGGTTGGAAAGATAGAGGTTCTTTCAGGTATAGCCTTGAGTGCCTTTAGGAGAGATACCAACTATGACTTTAGGCATATAAAATATTCGCTATTAATATTTTATAGAATAAAACAGATATTCTACCTATGCAAAGTTTGTTTGGACAAAAACTACCCCAGACTTCTCCTAAACTGTGATCATAGCACTGCTGGCTTTTCCTGATCCATCTCCGTTTGTCACAGTTTAAAATAATAGGCTTCTAGGGGTCTGAGAATGGGATCCTTTTATATATCTGTGTCAACCCTTAACAGTCTTTCCATTGGTCAGCAGCTAAGCTCTGAAGAGTGGTTAGGATGTGGCAGACCCAGAAGCTTGTGCCATTCAAAGTAGCAAATTTGGTGAATTACGTTTTGGATGGTATTCTCTATAGACTTTGCTCTCAGATCGAGAATCACCAGTTTTGGCCAGCTGCGGTGGAGCAGTGGCAATGGAACACTCTGCAGTGCCAAGGCTATATGGAGAGGCCATGGTTTCATGTCCCAAAGTTTCCCTGTGCATGCTGGGCACACGTGCATCCGTGATCCTGGCCAGCTTGGCCTGAGGGTGGATCCCAACATGAAGACCCTGTCAGGGGTCCCTGTCTCTGTCTTTCTCCTTATCTCCGTCTGGCTCTCTTCCTCTTTCAAGGAAGAAATACACAAGTAAACTTCATTTGAGAAAAGAATTACCAGTCTTGGGCCAGCGGGTGTCGTGGCGACTGGATCCCGCATGGCTGACTGCACAGTTTGAGTCCCAGATCCCAGACTCGGTGGCATGAAAAATATTCCGAGCACGTGTGCATACATTACCCAAAATCCTAAGAAGAAAAATGAAAGAGAAGGAATTGCAACGTGACCACCCCCCAAGGGGATTGCTTTCTCACTTTCCTCTCTCTTAACGTCTGTCTCTCTGTCTCTCCAGGGAGTACATGTGTTCTATAGCAATTTAAAAAAAAAAAAAAAGACCAGTCTTGACGTTTTTATTTAAATTTCAGGGGCTATTTAAAAAATAATAGCATTTTCACAATTAGCTGCCCGTAATTTAATCACACTGAACCACTAACAGGGTGTGTGGCACTTACTGTTCTCACTAGTCCTGTGTGGTGAGCCGAGTCCAACATCCAGAAACATGGACTCAGCTTCCTAGCCAGGAGTTGGAAAAAGCCGAAATAAGTCCCCCAAGGTCTAGAGCAGAGAGCAAGGACTAGCCAAGTTTTCCCAATTTTTTTTTTTTTTGAGAGGTTTTTGCTATAGGGCGCGTGCGCTCGCCAGACAGACAGAGATACAGAAAGCGAGAAATCACCCCCCAGGATGCCGCAATCCCTTCTCCTCCATTCTCCTCTCGGGATCTTGGGCACCCATGCACATGCGCCCGGAGTGAGTTTTAAGCCACCGGGTCTGGGATGCAAACTGCAGTAGACTACGTGGGAGTCCAGCGACACAGCCATTACGCTAACTGCTGGTCCCTTCCTAAGCCTTTTGATGAAGCTGTTTAGCTCACAAATTTGACTTTATCCTAAGACATTCTTCCCTCTTTATTAGGAAATATTTCAAAGAAGCATGTAATGTTTCTGAACCAGAAGAGAAGTTTAATATGGACAAGTACACAGACTTGGTGACAGTCAGCAAACCGGTCATTTATATTTCAATTGAAGAAATCATCAGCACACACTCAGTAAGTGGGGAGGGGAGGGTCTCGGAAGTGGATTCATTGTTTAGGTATCTGTGATCTTGAAAATGCTTAGTCGCTCCTATGCGCATGTGCTAATGCTCATAATTATATTTATTATTATTGTTTTGTTTTAATTTGCTATAGGGCATGTACACTCACCAGAGAGAGACAGAGAGAAAGTGAGAAAGCAAGCCACCAGGTCCAGGACTCAAACCACATTCAGCCTTGTAGTAGTCCAGCACCTTAGCCACCATGCCACCTGCTGGTCCCAACTAATGCTCATATTCTTTTTCTTTTTTTGAGAAGTTTTTGTTATAGAGCGCTTGCCAGAAAGACAGAGAGAGACAGAGAGACAGAAAGTGAGAAATCACTTTCCAAGGGGGGTGACCACACTGCAATCCCTTCTCCTCCATTCTCCTCTCGAGATCATGGGCACGCACACACATGTGCCCAGCGTGAGTTTAAGCCACTGGGTCCGAGACTCGAACCAGTCGACTACACGGAAGTCCAGCGACATTACTCCAACTGCTAGTCCCAATGCTCATATTCTTAACCCTAGCAATTCTCAGTTAGTTATTCCCTAATTCTTATACATTAGTTAAACTCCTGCCACACCAGAAAAGTTTAGTTTTTTGTATAGTATGTTTATTCCCTGACTCTTAACACATTAATAAAACTCCTTCTCCCAAACACAAAAGTCTACTTTTGACATGATCCATTTACAAAAAACTGCTTTATAAATATGTGGCTTAAGCCCTGAGAAGGGGTCAGGCCCCTGTCCTCCCACCCACCAAAACCATGCTGCCTGGACCCACACCCTGGGTCTCCCTCTTTCAGGAATCTTCTCAGCTTTTCCTGTAACTTCCTGGGCAAATGAAAATGTTCCCTCTACAGTGCGTAATGTTTGGACATAAAGAGTAAACAGGCTGCTCCTGGAAGACAAGAAATATCACCCAGCAGTTGCTTGCTGCAAAGCACCACCACTATTGCCCTGGAAACCCCCATTTCTTAGAAGCAGGCCATTTGGCAGTCTGTGCCGCGTCATCATGTCTCCATCTGGTTGACATGCACACATCACCATCAGCCTTTAGCATGCATTAAGCATCTTTTTGGGAGCAGGGCACTGTGCTTGGTGGCAACACTGGGAAGGAATTAGGAAGTTTAGATGGCTTTTCAGTCATTTAATATAAGAAGAGAAACTTGAACATCGAGGGCTATTATTTTTAAGACCAGTGAGAATTTATTTCCTTAAAAATCTAAGTTTTTAAAAGGTAATCTTTTTGAGATTATTTCAGATCTTGCTGGTCAAATCAAGGTCCTGGCGCTGTGTTAGAGCTGCACCCAGACCTGCCAAATCGGATCCTACATTCTAGCAAGATCCCAGGGTTCCTGGACGCGTTAAAGTTCTACCGTTCTACCACACATGCTTTAGTTAAGGACACATTCAGCTTTAGATTATGCAGGCAGCTGAAGATAAGGATGACCATACACACCTCCTACGATCAAGCTCCTGCCCCACACACTAGACAGACCGACACGTGAGAAATGGACTGCTTAACATTTCAGTCCTTATTTAAGCTCTTCCAAGAAAATAATCTTAACTATAGGTTTTGGAGGAAAGACTGGATCTGGTCTTGATTTCTGCCTTTCAAGATTGGAACAGGGAACTTCTCTAACATTTATAACAAGGCCTCAGTAAGTGTTAATGAAGATTAAAGGCTGTCCATTTATTTATTTATTAACCATAGGGCACGTGTGCTCAACAGAAAGAGGGAAAATGAGAAATCACCCCCTCGGGGAGATGGCCACACTGCAATCCCTTCTCCTCCATTCTCCTCTCAGATCTTGGGCACACACATGCCCCTAGCATGAGTTTCAAGCTGCCAGGTCTGGGACTCTAACCATGGTAAGCCATATGGGGGTCCAGCACCTTAACCATCACACCATCTGCTGACCCCAAAGCTGTCCTTCTTTTCTCTGTATAAAAACACTCAAAATCACAAACTTCTCAGCAATGCACTGTTTACAGAAATAATTTTCTAAGGAACAAGTAAACTCATTCATATTTGAGTAACAACCCATTTGTCTTTTTTTATGGCACATCATCCATCTCAAAAAAAAAAGTGCATATTTTTGCTGTATATTTGGTTAGGGTAGTATTCACATGCCCAAAAAGATGTAAGAAGTTCTTTTTTTAGGGTGAGAGATTCTTTCTTAAGGGCAGCAGACAGAAAATGTTATTGTATTAGCTTAGACTACTACTCTTTATGGAGAACTTTCAAGAACTGAAAACAGAAACTAATCCTGGGAAAAAGAGTTCGTGGCTGAGTTGGAATGCCTTCATGTGTTAGATTGGAAGCAGATGCAACGTGGGGAAACCTGTCATTGTAGAGGAAGATTGCCCTGTCTGTCTACGTGTGGAAGTGTCCACTTGCAGACAAGCACCGCAGTGGCACAGTCTACCAAGCCCACACCACGTGCTTACCCCTGACTCTACGGAACATGGAGAACTTCAGAATGAACTGTGAGGCAGTCCCGCATGGGAATGTTCCCAGTTCAAGTCCAAAGACCTCCTCCCTGAGTACGTTGGGCACACATTTGCCCATGATCCAGGGTCTAGAGGCCTAAGGGTCGAGCCCAATCTTCAGACCCCATTGGTAGTGCTGACTCTTATCTCTCTCACTCATGGAAGAAATAAACTTTTAAAAAGAGAAATTTCACAACTCAGTGATAAAAAGATGAATAATCCAATTTTTAAATGGGTAATTGTGTATCATAGGACACAGTCAACTGAGTGAAAAAGCAACATTTGGAATAGGGGAAAATATTTGTAAATCATGTATCTAGTAAAGAGCTGATATCTACAATATATAAAGAACCCTTCAACTCTATAGCAACATAAAAAGAAGACATTTGGGCTGACTTCATGGCCTGGTAGTTTGGGAGCCAGATCCCACACGGCCCACTGTACTTGTTGAGTCTGAGTTTTATAAGAGTTGCTCAAAACAACTAAAATTATATCTCTTATCCCATACTTTGGAAACAACGTTTCTGCTTAATTATAAATACAAACAAGGTCCATGCTCCTAGCCTAATGGTTAAGGGAGCTGGATCCCACATGGCTGAGCATGGTTCAAGTCCTGCCCTCACTGGCTTGAAAACATGATGAAACACACATGCATACATTCCTAAAATCCCAGAAGGATGAAGAAGGGATTGTGGGGTGATTATGCCCCATTGGAGAGTGCTTTCTTCATCCCTCCCTCCCTCCCTCTCTTTCTCTCTCTCTCTCTCTCTCTCTCTCGGGACCATACACATTTTTATTTAATTTTTAATTGCTTTATGGCAATTAAAAAATTGTGAATGAAATCAAATTTGTTGTCCTTCATGGTTTTTCCTCTTCAGTGCTACTACCCATCAAGAGTTAACAGTGTGTCCTCAAAGAGAAATCCCAGCAATTACTACTCATCTTTGAGCCTTTTAGGGAGCACAAAATGGAAACCAGTCTATCTAGGATCTCAGGCCAAGGAACCATGTGGGCATTTCTGCTATCCTTACCCATGAAAGATCTTCAATGCCAGACAGATTAAAATAGCTAATAGTGGTGATTTTTTTAAAAGAAATTAATTATTACAAATTTTTTCTTATGCAAATGTTCCTCCAGTATGCTACCAGTGTTAGCTGAGAGACTCATAACCTCATTTTAGACTCCTTCTCCTCAACTTTGACATTTCCTTTAAAAGTGGAATGGAATGTGCACAGAGGTTAGATGGTAGAATGCTGCCTTCAGTAGATCTTGCACGATCTTACTGAAAAGGGATTTACGAACACCTTCCTTGCTACAGTTTCTCCATGTAACATAGGTACTTCCCTCTGTGGGAAAATAAAAATTGTCTCTGTTGTCCTTCATTTTAACATCTGTCAGGTTTGTATTTCATATATAATGATATCAGCAGGTATCATGGAAAATTATAAAGGGAACTATGTAAAGATAGTAGCAGTTGAGATTTAACTTTTATCTTTGTCTGTTGCTTTCTATATAAAGCTACTGCTGGAACACCAGGATGCGATTGCCCCTGAAAAAAATGACTTACTGAACGAATTGTTGGGGGTCCTGGGAGAGGTCCCTACTGTGGAGTCTTTTCTTGGTAAGAACTTTTTCCTTCTACTTATTCTCTTGGTTTTTGCTTAATTGTTTTGTCTACTTGCTTGCTTTAAAATACTTTACTTTAAAATATCCCTTTTGGAATTTAATACGTACGCTCATTTATAGGGTAATAACTACACTTGCACCTGCCTACATTAAGAGTTCTGCAATTTATAGTGTCCTAGATTTTAAAACAAGTTGATATTTTTTAAGCTTTTTGCCATAGGGCATATGAATTTGCTGGAAAGAGAAAGAGAGACAGTGAGAGGGAAAGTGAGAAATCACCCCCCAAGGGGTATAGCACGCTGCAATCCCTCCTCCTCCATCCTCCTCCTGGGATTTCAAGCATGCACACATACACGCCTGACGTGATTTTCAAGCCATCAGGTCCAGGAAATGAACCACAGTTGGCTATGTGGTAGACCAGCACCTTTAACCACTGTGCCACCTGCTGCTCCCAACAATTTGATATTCGTGAAGATAAGTTTCAGCTACTTCAGGAAGGATTTGTCAACCTGCAATATAAAGAAAGAAATAATATTATTGAACCAAATTATTAGAAGATAAGAAATTCCTTACTGTGTTTTCTAAGGATTTATTTTATTAACAGTTCTCTCTTTTAGTGATTTGTTATTTTGATCATCTGTGTTCCATGTTATTTTAATGTTACAATGAAATTTTTCTAAAACCATTTCAGGGGCCTGTCAGGTGCCATGGTGGTTAAAGGCACTGGACTCCCACATGGCCAGTCGCATTTCAAGTCCTGGGCCTGGCAGCTTACTTTCTCACTTTCCCTCCTTCCCTTTCTCTCTCTCTCTTATTCTGTCCCTCTCTGGTCAAATTAAAATAAAGAAATAAAATAAAATAAATAAAGTTAAAGGGCTGGCAGGTGGCATGGTGGCTAAAGGCACTGGATTCCCACATGGTTGACCGCAGTTTGAGTCTCAGACCTGGCAACTTGCTCTCTCACTTTCCCTTTCTCTCTCTCTCTCTCTTTCTCTCTCTGTCTCTGTCTGGTCAAATTAAAAATAAATAATAATAACAAATGGAATTGAATAAATAATTATTTTAAATAAATAAAGTTAAATTTTTAAAAAGAGAACCACTTCAGATAAAGTAGAGTGTGGGTTTTGTGATGACCATGATCCCCCACCCAACTATGAAGCTTGCCTTTTCCGTAGAACCTTCATCTGACGTGGTTGATGCCCTCATCGGAGGAGTGAATGGGAAGAATAACACTGCTTTGTTTCGTTTTGTTTTTCTGTAGGAGAAGGAGCAGTTGATCCCAATGACCCTAACAAGACAAATACACTAAATCAGCTCTCAAAGACTGAGATTTCCCTTTACCTGACAAGCAAATATGATATAGGGGATGGAGAAGCCATAGATGGCCGAAGCCTCATGATAAAGTAAGTTTGGGCCTGAAAGGGTACATGTCTCTAATGTCTTTAAACCATGCAAGTTCAAATCAGGTTAAATCCCAAATAATTCATTCAAAAGAATGTGAAGGTTGAAATATAATGTTTATTAGTTAAACATCTAATCAAAGGATAATAAACTATCATTTAGAAGGGATCCGAATATTATATTGGCTCATGAAGGTTGTCTTGGTTTTTAATTTTTCATATAGTAATTTGATTCTTTTCCTTTAAGAAGTTAAGTTGTTAACTCAGCCTATGAAGGTTTTTAGGTTACTGAAAGGAAATATCTGTTTCAGAATTGTCTGAAGGATAGTGAGGAAATACCTTTAGCCAATTTCATTTCTGGTATAAAATTATTCTATAAAAAGTCACACATATAAGATAAAATTACCTGTTTTTATTAGCATTTTTCTATAAAACAAACCTTAGATGTGTTTACCAGCTTTGACTATTTCTGTCCTACTTACTATCCTCAATTATTTCAAGCAGAGCATGCTCACTTAAATTAATACTGTATTTTCCCATCAAGGACTCATGGGTATTTCACATTAGTCCTCTATACACAGAAAAAAGAAAGACAATGAAATCCATGATACAATAGCGTGAATCAAAAACATACGCTCACCAAACAATGCCATTTCCAAGAAGTTATAGAAACTAAAGGATGCTTATGAACTCATTAGAACCATTCTGTAGTGAGGTGAGGTGGAGGCTGGAAGGGGGAGACGGGGCAGAGGGGAGTAACTGCGTACTGAGGCAGTGCTGCACACGCTACTTCCAAGCACACGTCCCGAGTCCTCAGGCGGTTTTCATTTGTGATAAAGCTTTCTGTCCTGCCACTGATGAACTTCAGAAAACATTCCTCTCCTCTTTATTCAGGAAATTATCATGGAAAACCATAAAGGGAACTATGTAAAGATAGTAGCAGTTGAGATTTAACTTTTATCTTTGTCTGTTGCTTTCTATATAAAGCTACTGCTGGAACACCAGGATGCGATTGCCCCTGAAAAAAATGACTTACTGAACGAATTGTTGGGGGTCCTGGGAGAGGTCCCTACTGTGGAGTCTTTTCTTGGTAAGAACTTTTTCCTTCTACTTATTCTCTTGGTTTTTGCTTAATTGTTTTGTCTACTTGCTTGCTTTAAAATACTTTACTTTAAAATATCCCTTTTGGAATTTAATACGTACGCTCATTTATAGGGTAATAACTACACTTGCACCTGCCTACATTAAGAGTTCTGCAATTTATAGTGTCCTAGATTTTAAAACAAGTTGATATTTTTTAAGCTTTTTGCCATAGGGCATATGAATTTGCTGGAAAGAGAAAGAGAGACAGTGAGAGGGAAAGTGAGAAATCACCCCCCAAGGGGTATAGCACGCTGCAATCCCTCCTCCTCCATCCTCCTCCTGGGATTTCAAGCATGCACACATACACGCCTGACGTGATTTTAAAGCCATCAGGTCCAGGAAATGAACCACAGTTGGCTATGTGGTAGACCAGCACCTTTAACCACTGTGCCACCTGCTGCTCCCAACAATTTGATATTCGTGAAGATAAGTTTCAGCTACTTCAGGAAGGATTTGTCAACCTGCAATATAAAGAAAGAAATAATATTATTGAACCAAATTATTAGAAGATAAGAAATTCCTTACTGTGTTTTCTAAGGATTTATTTTATTAACAGTTCTCTCTTTTAGTGATTTGTTATTTTGATCATCTGTGTTCCATGTTATTTTAATGTTACAATGAAATTTTTCTAAAACCATTTCAGGGGCCTGTCAGGTGCCATGGTGGTTAAAGGCACTGGACTCCCACATGGCCAGTCGCATTTCAAGTCCTGGGCCTGGCAGCTTACTTTCTCACTTTCCCTCCTTCCCTTTCTCTCTCTCTCTTATTCTGTCCCTCTCTGGTCAAATTAAAATAAAGAAATAAAATAAAATAAATAAAGTTAAAGGGCTGGCAGGTGGCATGGTGGCTAAAGGCACTGGATTCCCACATGGTTGACCGCAGTTTGAGTCTCAGACCTGGCAACTTGCTCTCTCACTTTCCCTTTCTCTCTCTCTCTCTCTTTCTCTCTCTGTCTCTGTCTGGTCAAATTAAAAATAAATAATAATAACAAATGGAATTGAATAAATAATTATTTTAAATAAATAAAGTTAAATTTTTAAAAAGAGAACCACTTCAGATAAAGTAGAGTGTGGGTTTTGTGATGACCATGATCCCCCACCCAACTATGAAGCTTGCCTTTTCCGTAGAACCTTCATCTGACGTGGTTGATGCCCTCATCGGAGGAGTGAATGGGAAGAATAACACTGCTTTGTTTCGTTTTGTTTTTCTGTAGGAGAAGGAGCAGTTGATCCCAATGACCCTAACAAGACAAATACACTAAATCAGCTCTCAAAGACTGAGATTTCCCTTTACCTGACAAGCAAATATGATATAGGGGATGGAGAAGCCATAGATGGCCGAAGCCTCATGATAAAGTAAGTTTGGGCCTGAAAGGGTACATGTCTCTAATGTCTTTAAACCATGCAAGTTCAAATCAGGTTAAATCCCAAATAATTCATTCAAAAGAATGTGAAGGTTGAAATATAATGTTTATTAGTTAAACATCTAATCAAAGGATAATAAACTATCATTTAGAAGGGATCCGAATATTATATTGGCTCATGAAGGTTGTCTTGGTTTTTAATTTTTCATATAGTAATTTGATTCTTTTCCTTTAAGAAGTTAAGTTGTTAACTCAGCCTATGAAGGTTTTTAGGTTACTGAAAGGAAATATCTGTTTCAGAATTGTCTGAAGGATAGTGAGGAAATACCTTTAGCCAATTTCATTTCTGGTATAAAATTATTCTATAAAAAGTCACACATATAAGATAAAATTACCTGTTTTTATTAGCATTTTTCTATAAAACAAACCTTAGATGTGTTTACCAGCTTTGACTATTTCTGTCCTACTTACTATCCTCAATTATTTCAAGCAGAGCATGCTCACTTAAATTAATACTGTATTTTCCCATCAAGGACTCATGGGTATTTCACATTAGTCCTCTATACACAGAAAAAAGAAAGACAATGAAATCCATGATACAATAGCGTGAATCAAAAACATATGCTCACCAAACAATGCCATTTCCAAGAAGTTATAGAAACTAAAGGATGCTTATGAACTCATTAGAACCATTCTGTAGTGAGGTGAGGTGGAGGCTGGAAGGGGGAGACGGGGCAGAGGGGAGTAACTGCGTACTGAGGCAGTGCTGCACACGCTACTTCCAAGCACACGTCCCGAGTCCTCAGGCGGTTTTCATTTGTGATAAAGCTTTCTGTCCTGCCACCAGCAGGAAATTATCATGGAAAACCATAAAGGGAACTATGTAAAGATAGTAGCAGTTGAGATTTAACTTTTATCTTTGTCTGTTGCTTTCTATATAAAGCTACTGCTGGAACACCAGGATGCGATTGCCCCTGAAAAAAATGACTTACTGAATGAATTGTTGGGGGTCCTGGGAGAGGTCCCTACTGTGGAGTCTTTTCTTGGTAAGAACTTTTTCCTTCTACTTATTCTCTTGGTTTTTGCTTAATTGTTTTGTCTACTTGCTTGCTTTAAAATACTTTACTTTAAAATATCCCTTTTGGAATTTAATACGTACGCTCATTTATAGGGTAATAACTACACTTGCACCTGCCTACATTAAGAGTTCTGCAATTTATAGTGTCCTAGATTTTAAAACAAGTTGATATTTTTTAAGCTTTTTGCCATAGGGCATATGAATTTGCTGGAAAGAGAAAGAGAGACAGTGAGAGGGAAAGTGAGAAATCACCCCCCAAGGGGTATAGCACGCTGCAATCCCTCCTCCTCCATCCTCCTCCTGGGATTTCAAGCATGCACACATACACGCCTGACGTGATTTTCAAGCCATCAGGTCCAGGAAATGAACCACAGTTGGCTATGTGGTAGACCAGCACCTTTAACCACTGTGCCACCTGCTGCTCCCAACAATTTGATATTCGTGAAGATAAGTTTCAGCTACTTCAGGAAGGATTTGTCAACCTGCAATATAAAGAAAGAAATAATATTATTGAACCAAATTATTAGAAGATAAGAAATTCCTTACTGTGTTTTCTAAGGATTTATTTTATTAACAGTTCTCTCTTTTAGTGATTTGTTATTTTGATCATCTGTGTTCCATGTTATTTTAATGTTACAATGAAATTTTTTTAAAACCATTTCAGGGGCCTGTCAGGTGCCATGGTGGTTAAAGGCACTGGACTCCCACATGGCCAGTCGCATTTCAAGTCCTGGGCCTGGCAGCTTACTTTCTCACTTTCCCTCCTTCCCTTTCTCTCTCTCTCTTATTCTGTCCCTCTCTGGTCAAATTAAAATAAAGAAATAAAATAAAATAAATAAAGTTAAAGGGCTGGCAGGTGGCATGGTGGCTAAAGGCACTGGATTCCCACATGGTTGACCGCAGTTTGAGTCTCAGACCTGGCAACTTGCTCTCTCACTTTCCCTTTCTCTCTCTCTCTCTCTTTCTCTCTCTGTCTCTGTCTGGTCAAATTAAAAATAAATAATAATAACAAATGGAATTGAATAAATAATTATTTTAAATAAATAAAGTTAAATTTTTAAAAAGAGAACCACTTCAGATAAAGTAGAGTGTGGGTTTTGTGATGACCATGATCCCCCACCCAACTATGAAGCTTGCCTTTTCCGTAGAACCTTCATCTGACGTGGTTGATGCCCTCATCGGAGGAGTGAATGGGAAGAATAACACTGCTTTGTTTCGTTTTGTTTTTCTGTAGGAGAAGGAGCAGTTGATCCCAATGACCCTAACAAGACAAATACACTAAATCAGCTCTCAAAGACTGAGATTTCCCTTTACCTGACAAGCAAATATGATATAGGGGATGGAGAAGCCATAGATGGCCGAAGCCTCATGATAAAGTAAGTTTGGGCCTGAAAGGGTACATGTCTCTAATGTCTTTAAACCATGCAAGTTCAAATCAGGTTAAATCCCAAATAATTCATTCAAAAGAATGTGAAGGTTGAAATATAATGTTTATTAGTTAAACATCTAATCAAAGGATAATAAACTATCATTTAGAAGGGATCCGAATATTATATTGGCTCATGAAGGTTGTCTTGGTTTTTAATTTTTCATATAGTAATTTGATTCTTTTCCTTTAAGAAGTTAAGTTGTTAACTCAGCCTATGAAGGTTTTTAGGTTACTGAAAGGAAATATCTGTTTCAGAATTGTCTGAAGGATAGTGAGGAAATACCTTTAGCCAATTTCATTTCTGGTATAAAATTATTCTATAAAAAGTCACACATATAAGATAAAATTACCTGTTTTTATTAGCATTTTTCTATAAAACAAACCTTAGATGTGTTTACCAGCTTTGACTATTTCTGTCCTACTTACTATCCTCAATTATTTCAAGCAGAGCATGCTCACTTAAATTAATACTGTATTTTCCCATCAAGGACTCATGGGTATTTCACATTAGTCCTCTATACACAGAAAAAAGAAAGACAATGAAATCCATGATACAATAGCGTGAATCAAAAACATACGCTCACCAAACAATGCCATTTCCAAGAAGTTATAGAAACTAAAGGATGCTTATGAACTCATTAGAACCATTCTGTAGTGAGGTGAGGTGGAGGCTGGAAGGGGGAGACGGGGCAGAGGGGAGTAACTGCGTACTGAGGCAGTGCTGCACACGCTACTTCCAAGCACACGTCCCGAGTCCTCAGGCGGTTTTCATTTGTGATAAAGCTTTCTGTCCTGCCACTGATGAACTTCAGAAAACATTCCTCTCCTCTTTATTTTTTCCCAGAGCTTTGGTCATCCATGTAAATGGCAAAAGGAACTTCCCTGGTATGCTCTGTGGCAATATGTGCTTTTTCTACTGGGCTTGTATACAAGAGGATGTCAAACAGTTCATGAAAAATGGAATTAAAGTACAGGCATATTTTGGTGCAAACGTGTTTTAAAATCCATGAGTAGTTTTTTTATAATATACATTTTGCGTGAACTGTTTGTTCCAAAACTTCTATTTTGTCCTCATCATCTAAAGCTCAATTCATTCGTGTAACATGTGTTTGAGGACCTACTCGTGCTCGCACACTGGGTTTGAGGCTGGGAATACAGTGGTGAGCCAGCCAGAAGCTGCCTCTGCTGTCTAGGGGTCTAAAGTCTAGCGGTGAAAAGAACAGTTCAACTGCAGGACAGAGGCCAGACTGCAGTACCAGTACACATCCTTGGGCTCACAACAGTGAATCCTTTTTATTTATTTATTTTTTTAATCTTAAGGTTTTTGCCATAGGGCATGTATACTCTCCAGAGAGAAATAGAGAAGACAGTGAAAGGAAAAGTGAGAAAGCACCCCAGTGGGGAGATGGCCACATGCAATCCCTCCTCTTCCATTCTTCTGGGATTTGGGGGCATGCACACATGCCTGATCTGATTTTCAAGCTTAGTCCAGGACTCGAACTGCAGTCAGCCGTGTGGGAGTCCAATGCCTTAACCATCATGTCAGCTGCTAGCCCCAAGAGTAAATTATTTTCAACTATTGATTACCAAGTCATATTCAAGAGTGAACAGGGAGAAAACTGAGATCTACTTCCTGAGTTCATCAGAACAAATGTCATTACACAGTAACTGGAAATAGAGATTATGTGCTTTTACCATGCAAATGAGATTAGGCCAAGTATCCGATGATCTCATGGGCTTTGTCCTTCAAAGTAGTAGGAAGAAAGTTTTTCTTAATTGGTTTTGTCTGTTATTCAAACACCATTTTCTAAATGTCGTCAACTCAAATGTCTTCATTAAGGAATGGGAATCACAATTTGGGTAGCCTAAAATATCAAATAATATGAATCTGATATGTATTTGTACTTAGTTCTACACAGGGGTTTCCATAGCTCTGCAAAGTCTTAGAATTCACTTTTTACAAACAAAACCATAAAAGCCAGACATTCTGGGGCTGGAAAGCTTACACACCATCCTGCTCACCCTCCCCAGCCCCAGCCCTTTGTGGCTCTCTCCTGGCTCCCTGGTAGTGTTGGAAACACACATTGTCAGTTCCTGTAGTTACCATCCTACGCGAGGCAGCCAGTCAGTTTATTTTTTAATTGTGATAAAGTACAGATAATGTAAAATGTACTCATTTAACCATCTTAAAGTGTACAACTCGGTGGCATTTAGTACATTCACCGAATTGTGAAACCACCACCACTACCTGGTTCCAGAACCTTTTTTATCATCCTAAAAGTGCACCTCATACCCATCACGTGGTCACTTCCCAGTCCTCATGTTCCCCAATCCCTGACAATAGTCTGTTTTATGTCGTTATGAACTTGCCTATTCTGGATATTTCATGCAAATGGAACCATGTGTCTTTTGTTTTACTCAGCATGTTTTTGAGGTTCTTCACTGTAGCATGAGTGTGTTCTCTATTCCCTTTTTTTTTGTTTTTA